GGTACGTGGCCATCTGTGACCCTCTGAGATATGCCACCACCCTGACCAAGGAGCAGGTGACCTGGATATGTGTTGTTGTGGTGTTGCCACCAACAATTCTTGTAATTCCCATGGCTTTGTTGACTCTCCGCTTGCCCTTCTGCAATGCCCATATCATCATCGCACATACATACTGTGAGCACATGGGCATTGCCCAGCTGGCCTGTGCAGATATCCGGGTGAACAGGGCCTATGGCTTATTTACTATTGCCTTTCTTATGCTGGATTTACTCTTGATTTTTGGGTCCTATGTGCTAATCCTAAAAGCGGTTTTCCATCTCCCTTCTAGGGAGGCCCGGCTCAAGTCCTTGGGCACCTGTGGCTCCCACATTGCTGTAATTTTTGTCTTCTACACACCAGCCTTCTTCTCCTTCCTCACCCACCGCTTTGGACATAACATTCCCCACTTTGCCCACATCCTCATTGCCAACCTCTATATCATTTTGCCTCCAATGCTCAACCCAGTCATTTACGGAGTGAGGACCAGGGAGATCCGGAAAAGAATTCTGCATTTGTTCAGCCCTGGAAGGGGAGCTTTGACCAACATTTCCTGATGTTTTTGGTGCATGTAAAAAACCTATATGTATTAATACTTTGCACCAGAGTTTGCTGGACACCAGGTGACCACAGCCAGAACACCTAGCAGTGAAGCACTGAAGTACAAGCTCCTGATTAAAGAGCTTGTCTTTCAACTGGTAAAAATAAGGAAAGCTGGATTTCAACGTAGTGTTTTATAAAGCAGATTTTTAAAAGGGAGAATGCAGCATAGATTTTATAGCATCACTGAGAACATATAAGTAGCAGGGCTCTGTTTGTAGAGCCCACGAAGTCTTCCCGAGGGTTGCAGACCCTCCCTTCTGCAGCCTGGACAGGAACTGGAATATCCGGAGTAGCTGGGAAGCACCGCTTAGTCTCATTTTGGGATCTGAACAGAAAATGTCTGCCTTATTCCACCCACAGTGGCTAAGGATGCTTTAAACCTGAATTGTACATGCTTTTCTTTCTAAGAACAGATCCGTGGCTGCACAGCTTACCTATTTCTGGCTTAGTTCATCAGACATAATTTGGTCTCCTCCCCTCTCAGGTCAGAGTGGGACGAAGGGACAACGAGGCAAGTGTAGCTGGGCCCCACCTTCCCTTCTCTCCTCCCTTTCCATCAACATCATCTTCCAAAATATTTCCAGCCCTGCACACCTGACCTCAAACTAGAAGACAGACATAAGCCAGCCCCCAAACTTTCCTCTCTGGTTGTCTGGCAGACCAGGAAATCCATTCACTCCTGGGGAAGTGGGCTGGGCTGAACCAAAAACGACAAACCAAAATACACTCCCCATTAACCCACAAGCCCCAAATATAAAAGCATTAGCAGCCTAAAAGCAGTCAGAAAAAAGAAACAGAAAGCCAGCTTAGTGCACACATGCTTCCTGACAGCAACTGTGGGGCTGGAAGAGAGAGAAGTGGAGAAAAAGAAAAAGAATTTCTAGGCCGCACCCCAGGCATCAATCCATGCAGAAACCTCGCCCTGCCCCTGCTCACTCCCCCTGTCTGGAGGTCCTCAGCTTGAGCGACCCCCCCGCCCCCATCCTCCTCTCTCCTTAGCCCTGCAAGGCTGTGACTGTCAGGGCAGCACCATGAAAACAGCTGATGCCGAAGACCTCCGTCGCAAGGCTCTGGGGGGTCCTCAGATCGGATCCAAGATGCAGCACCTGTGAAGGAATGCAGTGGAGCACCAGGTTCTCAGGAAGGAAGTTGCACATTCCAGGAGTTGGGAGGGAGGAGGACAAGAGACAACACAGTCCGGAGCAGGAGCGTGGGAAGCGGAAGAGATTTAGGATAGCCCCTCCCTAGAACCTCCCGGGGTATATCCACTAGTTGCAATAGTGCAGATTTAGTCTGGCAAAATTCTGTCTGTATGGTGTAAGCAATAAAAGAACTGAACTTGGCTGGACTGTTTCCATGTTGTTCTTGGGCTGGGCCTGACAGCACCCAAGAGACCTCTTTGGATTTTTTTTTTCTCCCTTATTATTAACATAGCAAAACAAAACAAGTTTCATTTTCCCTGTGTGTGTGTGTGCAACATCCTAGCAGCTTACCTAACACAGACAATTCCCTTCTCCCTAT